CTTCTGATCTTTGCTCAGAACGGATCGGATTATGGTCATTCTTGTGGTCGGACGGTCGGACCTTGCAGACGGGCCCAGGGGACACAGGCTGACTGGCAGAGGTGCCGCAGTCACAGGGCTTGGCGACCCTTCCCATCGCACGGCAACTGCTGAACCATATCGCTTTCGAACAACCCCATCAAGGATACTCCAAAGAGTGGCAGTTTGTCTACCATTGAACCCCCATGGCTTCCACAATCCGCCACCTCGACCAGGCTGTGGCTTCTGGAGATTCATACGAGCTGACGCAGTCGACGAATACGCTTCCAGAGGCCGACGCCGTTCACGTCGCCTCAGCCAAGCCCGCAGGAGCTGCCTACGCCATCGAGGAAACGCAGAGTGCCTGTGCAAAGGCTGACAAGACAAGGAGATCCTTCTTCCAACGCGTGCTCCCTCGTCGGACGGAAAAGTACGGCCGTACTCCGAGCCGCGAGAGCTCGTCCTTCTTATCCCAATGGTGAGCGACCAGGATCGACTGCTCTGGGTCAACGTGAGCGAAGCGGCTGACCCCTCTCTGTTCAGGACATTCTCATACATGGACGAGATGATCGGTCGCGGAATGCGTCGGACAGTAACGGCGAGCGAGTTTCCACCCGTGGAGCAAGCCGACGAAGCCGAACAGCTTTCCACGCAGCTACTTGCCGCCTGGGCCGTCGAGCAGGAGCGTCGTGGTTCAAAGGCCAGACTCTGGCGCGCAGCTTACAAGGTCTTCGGACATCGCTACCTGCTCGCTGGAATCGCCTACTTTGCGGAGAGCTGCACCAAACTCGGTCAAGGAATCGCTTTGGGCTATCTCCTGAGATGGTTCCAAGATCCGGACGGAGAGTCTCGCGAAGGACTTCTTCTCGCATTCGCACTCGCTGGCTGCGTCATCGCGTACGCAGTCCTCCATCACGTGGTCTTCTTCCTCGGAGACCGCTACGGGATGCAGATGCGCGTGGCATTCATTGCCGCAATCTATCGCAAATGTCTCAACCTCTCCGTCTCCAACACCTCCTCCACAGGTCTCATCGTCAACCTCGTGTCCAACGACGTGCAACGATTCGAAGATGCGGCTCCGTTCGCGTGGTACGCCATCCTCGCTCCCGTGGAGATGGCCATGGCGCTCTACTTTATGTGGCTACAGATTTCGTGGGCTGCATTCGCTGCGCTGGGCGCACTCCTTCTAGTGCTGCCTTTGCAAGGCATGTTTGCTGCAAAATTTGCCAGTCTCAGGAAAGCTGTCGTCGTCTTCCGTGATGATCGAATTAAATCGATATCCGACATGCTCGCTGGCATCATGGTCGTCAAGCTCTACGCCTGGGAGATACCTTTCATCCGCAAGATCAGTGAACTCCGCGAGAGGGAGTTGGGCTTTGTAAAGACGGCGGCGATCCTGCGTGCTTTTAACGAAGCCTTGTACTTCTGCTCTTCTGGAGTAACGTCGCTGGCCGGGTTCGGTACTTATTTCCTGATGGGTGGTGCTCTGACTCCCGCCAAGGTAAAGTTTACGACGCTGCAGTTGCGAAACTTTCACTAAACTCGACTCTTTCTCTCCCATAGGTCTTCACGTGCCTCACGTATCTCTCAACTGTCCGGCTCACTGTCACGAACTTCTTTCCTAAGGCCATCCAGTTTATCTCTGAGTCATGGATCTCCCTTCAGCGTATCGAGGCCTTTCTCTCCCTCCCAGAGATCAGTCTGACACACGCAACGGAAGAGCAGCTCGCTTTCCTGGATACGTTGAACGACGAGTTCATTACTGTCGCCATCCGCGATGGCAACTTCGCGTGGGAATCTGGGATCACATCACTGGAAACAAAACCTGAAACTACCAACATTACCAAGTCGAGCTCTCCACCGGTTGCGCTTTTGAAAGACATTAACCTGACGATCCGCAAAGGGAAAGTCCTCGGCGTTTGCGGCTCCGTCGGATCCGGGAAAAGCACCTTGACCAACGCCATCCTCGGCGAGATGTTCACCATGCCCGGAACGCGAATCGGACTACGCACTCGGAAAGTCGCTTACGCTGCCCAATCTCCGTGGCTGGTGACCGGTTCCATCAAGGATAACATCACCTTCGGTCTCCCATACGACCCAGACTGGTTCTCCGAGGTGATCTTCGCTACCGCCATGGACCGCGACGTCGCCCGGTTCGAGCGTGGCATCGAGACCGTCATAGGAGAGCGAGGTGTGACGTTGAGCGGCGGACAGCGTGCGAGACTCGCTCTGGCTCGCGCGGTCTACCGAAATGCGGACCTTGTCATCCTGGATGATCCTTTGAGCGCCGTCGACCCGCAAGTCGGTAGACACATTTTTGACCACTGCGTTCGCGGCTTGTTGAGAGACAAAGCCGTCCTTCTTGTCACGCATCAGCTCCAGTACGTAAAGGACTGCGATCAGGTGGTGGTCATGGAAGGCGGAAGGATCGTCGGTGAAGGTACCTACTCCCACGTCATGAAGGACCCTACCAGTAGTTTCGCGACCGCGTTGCGGGAATTTGCCGAGCGACCCGCGGGAATGGACCAGACGGTGGACGATCAGGATGCTGTTGAACCCACCGTCGTCGCAACTGCGAACATCCAGGTTGTGGAGAATCAACCCGAAGCTGCCGCAAACGATTGCGTCACCGGGGAGATGACCACGGAAACGGTTACAGAGGGATCCATCTCCCTCAAGACGTATAACCGTTACCTTTCCTCTGGGTCTTCGGGACTCATGACCATCGTGCTTCTTGTTACTTTGATCCTCGGCGAAGCTGTCGCGGATGGAGCAAACTACTGGTTGGCGCAATGGTCGCAGTCGTCACCGGCTGACAAGTCTTCCGCGGCAAACGCTTGGATCTTCCTGGCCCTTGTCTGTCTGACCGTAGTCATCGCCAATGGACGTGCCCTGCTCTTCTTCTTCGTGAGTTGGAGGGCGGCGAGGGTATTGTTCCTCGATATGGTCAATTGCGTGTTCAGGGTCCAGATGGCGTTTTTCCAGCAGAATCCACATGGAAGGTAGCCTGCCAACATAAGTTAAGCGGGAACAACAGTTTTGCTAACATACGGTTTTTCGAGACTCATGAACCGATTTTCGAAAGACATCAACCTTCTCGACGAGATGCTGCCGCAAACATTCTTCGACTTCATTCAGTGCTTCTTCATGGTTCTCGGCACCCTGGTGGTTTCCGTCATCGTCATCCCCTACATCCTCATCCTCGTTCCGTTCATCGGTGTCAGTGGATACCTCCTGCGCACAGCCTACATCGAGACCTCCCGTCAGCTCAAGCGGATCGAAGCCATAACTCGATCACCCGTCTACAGCAACATCCCATCCACGCTCGAAGGACTCTCCACAGTACGAGCCATGGCCCAGCAGGAAGCGTTCACCGCAGACTTTGTCAGCCTGCTGAACGACAACACGGCAAAGTACTTCGTATGGATGTCCTGCAGTCGATGGCTAGGTTTCCGACTCGACGTCGGATCGGCAACGTTCCTCGCCATCGTGGCCTTCGGATCCGTGGGTCTCCGCGGTTCCCTCGGTCTGGAACCGGGTGTCGTGGGTCTTCTGCTCTCGTACGTGCTGCAGTTGACGGGTCTTCTTCAGTGGTGCGTTCGGCAGTCGACGGAAGTCGAGAACTACATGGTCAGCGTCGAACGCGTTTTGGAGTACACTGTCTTGCCTCCTGAGGAATCTGAGGAGGATGTCGCGACAGCCACCCTCAGGGGACCTCCACCGGAGGAGTGGCCTCAAGCTGGAGAAGTGGGCCTCACGGGACTCTCCCTCACATACCCCGGGACTGAACGACCTGTCTTGAAGGAGATCACCTGTCACATCCCAGCTGGGACCAAGGTCGGAATCGTCGGCCGAACCGGAGCGGGCAAGAGTTCGTTCCTGCAAGCGCTTTTCCGTCTCGTCAACCCGTCACCAAGAGGGTCCGTGGTGATCGACGGTATCCCAACTTCCGAACTGCGGCTTCAGGATCTCCGATCCCGCATCAGTATCATTCCGCAAGTGAGTTTCAATTGCCTTTGAGTAGGGTACTCTGGCGAGCTTTGCTGACTGTTTTCTTCTTTTTCAGGAACCATTTTTGTATAAAGGATCTCTCCGCTATAACCTTGACCCGTTCGCTGAGCTTCCGGACGACAAGGTGTGGGAAGCACTACGTCTCGTCGAGCTGTCGGACCGCGTGGCCACCAACCCGGCCGGTCTCGAGACGGAAGTAGCAGAAGGCGGCTCCAACTGGTCGGTCGGAGAACGTCAATTGATATGCCTCGCTCGCGCCATCCTCCGTCAGTCCCGCATCGTCGTGCTCGACGAAGCCACCTCGAACGTGGACGTCCGCACCGACGCCCTCATCCAGCACTCGATCCGAGACGGTCTCTTCGCCAACGCGACCGTCCTCACCATCGCTCACCGTTTGAACACCGTGATCGATTACGACAGGTGCCGTGTTCTCGCTTCTTACTTGGGTTTTTTTTTGTCTGGGTCCGTGGAGATCAAAACAAGAGCTCACTGCTAACTCGTGGTTCTTTTGTTGTTGTTGTTGTTGTTTTTTTCTATCAGGATCATGGTGTTGGATGATGGAAAGCTTGTTGAGACGGGTACACCTTTCGAACTCTTGAAGAAGGACCCTGAACGTGACGAGAGCGCTTGGTTCGCGCGTATGGTCGCAGACATGGGCGAGGACGCCCGTGCCGTGCTCGTGAAGATCGCTGGCGACAAGGACACCAAGAGGAAGAAGGAACGTGGGACTGTGTGAACCTTTTTTCCCGCCCATACGTTTTCATACGGATTCATGCCAAGACAGGAAAAGAGATTGATCAACGTTAAGAGAGGAGAAGCAGGTGCAGTAAATACGTATAAAGGTTCAAAAAGGATGGCTGTTCTTATACAGGGTGATCAGATCTGATGATGAAGGGCGCTGCCGTCGTTGGTCAAGGCAGTTAGTTCGTCGACGGAGTTGGCACGCACCCCAAAAAAATGTAAAAATGAAGTGATTGCTGTGGGGTTCGAACCCACGCCCCTTGCGGGACTGCGGCCTAAACGCAGCGTCGTAGACCACTTGACTAAGCAACCATGTGTTATATGCGTGAATTTTATGCGATATAATCATTAGTTTCGTTTTTGTGTAACCTGCACTATGTCAGCAGATTGTACCCTCAAACCACGACTTGTACGATCGGAAAGCTCATTCTTTTAGGCGTCATTGTCGCTCGATCGTTCCATGCACGAGCGATCATCAGATATCAAGAACAATCTTTTCACCATTACGTCCTGATTATCACGCCGTTAGACAGGTTGCAAGCCAAGCTGCAGGTACATGGCTGTCGGTCGGGCATAGACTGGGGCATAGAGCATGTATAACGACATCATCAACCGCGGGCGACGAGGCGCACGACATGCGCGACAAAAGCCTCCTGCGTTGCTTCCAAAGATTGCTGGCGACAAGTTAAAATCTTCCCCGTCCAGTGACTATATTGTACATCTTGCCTAATCTGCTAGATCAGTGCTCCCATCTGCATGTCCTCCTCCTCGTCGTCCGAGTCGACGACCTCTTCGATGGCGAAATCGTCCTCCGCGATCTTCTGCTTCTTGGAAGCGGGCAACTCGATCCTCCTGCCCTTCTCGGGGACCTCTTCCTCCTCCTCTCCCTCCTCGGTGCCGCACAGCATCTGCACGAGCCTCTCGATGCAGTCCTGGACGAGGTCGTCCTTCTCCTGCAGATGGAGCTTCTGGACGACGGGGTAGACCTTCTTGGCCCTCAGGATCTCCCTCCCCCTCCTCGTGGTGGTCAGGAGGAGGAGGATCTCGACGATCATGAGCCTCAGCTTGGCGTCGGGTTCCCTCTCCTTGTCGTCCTCCAACAGCTGCAGCTCGTCCGGCATGCCGTCCATCTCCTCGTCCGTGTACTCCTCGGGTCCCGAGAGCGGGAGGAGGACGTAAGGGAGGAGGTTGAGTTCCTGGTCCTCGAGCAGCGTGACGTGACAGTCCGACTCGAAGGCCACGTTCTTCAGGGTGCTGAAGGCGGCGGACCGACGTATCCGGTTGGGATGGGAGCAGAAGACGACCATCTTGGAGAGACGGATGGTGTTGTCCACGTTGGTGCGTCCTCGGAACCAGTGGGCTCCGGCGGTCGTCATGGCCACGTTCGCGAGGACGCCGCCGAGAAAGTCGTACGTCGCCGATGGGTTGTACTTTTTCGCTTCGCCTCGGATGTACACTTCCAGGAGGTTGTCGAGGTAGTGCGTCGTCTGATGGGGTTGTTGCGCAGGTTGAGGAGTTCCAGTTGCTGGTGGAACGGTCGATGTGGATGCGGTGGTTGTGGGTGTGGTGGATTGTGGAGATCGGGCGGCTGTAGCGGCGGCGCGAGCGATGTCGGCCACAAGCTTTCCGGCGATCGAGCTGCTCTCGCTCAGGTTGTTCAATAGCATACAGCAGAGGTCTGCCAAGACGTTTTGCGGAAGCTGGATGGAGCAGCCAATGAGACTCCTATTGACTCGGCTGCCCACGTTGCACCAAGGGCACACGATCGATACTCACGACGATGAGGAGAATGAGGTCGAACAAGAATTCTTCCTGGTCCATGACAGCCACGAAGTCGCGGTCGACGCAGAGGTTGATCAGGGTTGTGAGAGCATCGTGGGCGGCCATCTGGTTGCAGCAGGTTCAACTGTCAGCTAGAGTTCCTTCCCTTCCGCTCTCTCCCTCTCATCTTTCCCTCACCGGCTCGCCCTTGACCAACCGCATGAGATCCCTCACGACCTTCGAGTCATTCAGTTTGAGAAATGGAAAGAACTCTGCTGTGGTGGAAAGTCCGGCGATGTTGTTCGCCGCGAGCTGACGGACGTCGGGCCGGGCGTCCGTTACGAACGAAAAGAGCTGAGCAGAAGCTGTAGGGTGAGCATTGGAGTAGTTCCCGAGCGGGTGGGGAGAGCATGACTCTTTTGCTGCCGTGCAAAAAGGAATCTCTGACATACCTCTAGCAGTTGCTCCTCCATGATGTATCTATAGACTAGTCTACCTGTATCAGATGCTTTGGGTTGCGATCGCCTACGCAGCGTATCTTGTCGATAGTTCTGCGTTGCAGCCTGGTGCTTGAAGGGCGGGCGGTGCGAGAGCTGCAGGGCAAAAAGAAGCAGAGTGAGTGTGCGAGAGAGAGGGAAATTGTTGATCAGACCGAATCGGGATTCATCAAAGAGTCACTCGCCCACTTCCCAGAGGACCAGCAAACCAAACCCGGTAATACAGCCGGTAACGTGTACATGCACCATGGTTGGGCCTCGCAGCCTGGTTTACCATCTGGGCCAAAGTCGGTGAGAGGACCGCTCTGAACAGTCCTCCCGAGGCTCTTCTTCCAAGAAGCAACGCTCAATGAATCCGCACAAAGTGGAAGGACTTCGACAGACCCTCTATTATGGGTGGGTTGAAGGTCGAGTCAAACAAAGACAAGCTATTTACACATGCATGCAAGAAAAGAACGGCGGGTGATTGTGCACCCTTCATCCTGAGAACGAAGAAAGCGATCTCAGAGCGCTGTTTCGTTCCCAGTTGTGTGAGATATATTCCATCGGAAAACCCCGACCAGATCCCTAAGAAGCCTTCTCAAGCTTGTCCAACCGATCCATGACGCCCTTGACGATGGCGTCGTAGGATCCCGACGGAGGTCCGTCGACGTTGGCAGAAGGTGGACCCACCCTTGAAGCCCCAAGCCGAGGTCCCTTTCGCGGATCCAGGCGCACCCGCCGTCCCCGGCGCCGATGGCGTGTCCCCGTCCTTCCTTCCCTCCTCCTCCTCCGAGACATCCACGTCCACGGACGTTGCGTCGGTGCTGCCATTGTTGCTGTTGTTGTTGTTGTTGTTGTTGTTGCTGTTGGTGACACGGTTGGCCGCCTCCAACCTCTCCACCCTCCTCGCGATCTCGTGAAGGGCCGATCCAAACTTCTCTCCGTAGTTCACCTGCATGTCCCGAAAGTGACCTCTCACGAGTCCCTCGATCATCTGACCCGACGACTGGAGGGTCTGGAGCATGGCGGTGGACCTTCGGATCTGGTCGCTGAGCGTGTGTTTGAGTCTCGCCGTCTCGTCAGCCTGATCGTACATCTGTTCGGCGAGGTGGAGGAAGGTGGATCTCGGGATCGGGAGGTGGGAGGCGTTGGAGGGATGACGTTGTGATGACGTCGGGAAGGCCGAGGAAGCAGGAGACTGGGGAGGGAAGGTGTCGGTGGACCGGGAGGTGTTCATGGGTGGTAACGGGGAACGTGGTGGTGCTCCGTTGTCTCCACGATCGGGGAGATGTTGGTTGTAGGACGGAGTGTCGTTGTTGTACTGCTGAGACTGTCTGTGCATGTGAGACGGCGGTGGAAGTTCCCTTGACGGAAACTCTCCTCCTCGAGGGGACATGAGGGAATGGGCAGATGGGAGATTTGCGCTTTTGAGCGACGGGTTGTAGCGAGAGGCTTCGGCACCGCGGGACGGGACCCTTTGACTCTTTCCTGGGGCGGGGTTGAGATGATGCGGGGTTGAAAGAAGGGAGGAGGAGCTGGCGGATTGCTGCTGCGATCGCGACATGGGATGCATGACCGGGGGAGGATGATGAGGATGATGTGGTTCCACCGGAGCCGTCATAGCGCCCTCACGTAGGAGCTGGCGACTGCTCTCTCCCGTGCGAATAGTCAGGTTCTTTGCGTTTCGCAATTTCGGAGATGAGGGTCGCCGAGAAGACCTCCGCGAATCCGCCCCGGATAGGGCCGAAGAGTCGGAACCCCTGTGATCTGCCGACATTGGACCGCGTTGGAATTGAGCGTTCTGCCTGGCCTCAATAATGGCCTGCTGCTGCTGTTTGAGCTTCAGGGTGCTGCGTATCTGCTCCATGGCTTCCGTGCTAGAAGGGGTCAGGGCTGCTGAAGTTATAGCGATGTTGACAGCCGAAGCCCGTCCCGATGGCCCTCCTTGCGCTAAGGCTGTGTTGATGGATAGACGTTTTCGCTGCCTGGGACGGCCCGTTGAGTTTCCTTCCTCTGAACCAGTCGGGGAGGTGTCTATTTGCGCTTCGGATTGTGCAGACTCTGAAAGGTCAGCCTCCGACCGATTTCGCTTCAACGCGGCTGCTTTGTCTGCGTCAGTGGGAAACTTGAAAGCGGACGAACTGATGTGGGAGGAGATGAAAAGGAATAGACGCGTCAAGACACTGCATCTCTAAGAACAAGGAGAGATGAGGAGCGTACAGCTTACGCTTGATAGTCAGATGTGGTGGTCGACGGTCGGCCATTTGCGCCTGAAGCGGCCTCGGCTGGCGAGGCGGGCGCACCGTTGTTCTGCTGCATCTTGACGGCGTCGCAGCGAGCGTCGTGAGGGGGAAGAGAGACCAAGAGTCCAGAGAGAGAGAGAGAGAGAGATGGTGGATGGGATGGGTTGGTGGTTGGTGGTTGGTGGTGGTTGCTGGGGAAGGGGCTTGCGTCTGGTTTGCAGGTGTGTCCAGCACACGAGACAAGAGAACCCGCGATGCCTTCTGCTGACTCATATAAAACCCAACGGACAGCTCAACGGGACAGACCGGTCAAACTCACCGACGACGAAGACCACGAAGACAAGTTTCGGTAACGCGAAGCCCTTTACACACCAGTGTAGTCACAGCGTTCGTCTCTATTCCATCCAACTTCATAGATGCGAAGGGTAATCAGGGATGGAGAGCGTCGTTGCCGCAAGGTTTGCCCGGCCACCCACCTTCCTGCACCACGTTCCGTCATGTGTCCAAATAGATACCACTCGATTCTATCTTATGGTCACCAGGCCCCCGGCAGCCGTCTCCCTCTTGGGCACCAGATGCTTGTAAAAGACCCTCGTGCAGAACCCCTCGCCGTCCACCTTCCTCCAGTAGTCGGGAATGGCGCCCACCTCGACGTACCCCAGCCTCTCGTAGAACCTCTCGGCCTCCTTCCCCGTCCCCGTGTCCAGCACCACAATCTCCCTCTTCTCCCTCATCGCACACTCCTCCAGGCCCTTCATTAGCGCGGTGCCCACGCCCGTGCCGTGACATTCGGGACGTACGATCAGCTTGGACACCTCTGCCCTGTGCG